TAAGGTTTAGGAAAGGGTTGTTATCTGGTCAGGGAAAACCGGACCTGGGTGAGTTCAGGGCACGGGCAGGCATTCCAAGTAGGTTCAGAATTTGCAGTAATTTATAGTAAAGCCGAAATTATCTTTTCATGGTTTTATGGCGAGATGCCCAATTTTAAGAAAGGTTGGGTCTATCATAGGAAAGGAGCTAAATCAGTGATGCTGACAGGCATGGGGAGGGCAGTGATGGGGGGCAAGAGAAAAATGGTGGTGGTAGTGACAGAAGGTGATAATAGTAAGAGACTCTGGAGCAGACTAGGTGTTCTGAAGAGTTCAGAGGTATCTTGGGCATGTCCCTGCCTTTAGAGAATTTATAGAAGAGTTAAGTTACACAAACCATACACACACATATACACCCCAAAATGTGCATTGTAAAATGGAAATCTGATCCCTGTTTAAAACATTCCACCAGCCACTACTGCTAGAAGGTAAAAGTCAGCCCTCAGCTTGGCCCATATTACTCCCCAAACCACCTACTCACCAGTCCATCTCTGACCCCTCCCCAGGATCCCCATTCCCTCCAGTTCTCCAAACACTAGCCAGTTGGTATCTCACACCTCAGCCCTGATCCTTGGGTAGCACTAGTTTCCTTATTATTCACCTGGTGGGTGCCTAGATTCCCTGAAGACTAGCTCAAAAGGAAATACCTTCTGTCTCTCTCACTCACACCCACTTGTGACCCTTCACACTCTTGGTTCCTCACTTATTTAATTCTATATGATCATATTATTTATACTAATTTTATAGTATAGTATAAAATACTATAACCATTTGCAACTCCTGAGAAGTTAAGGTTTTTGGCCACCTCATCTCCATGGCCCATCCAGCGGCTCCACAGTGGAATAATCTAAGGTTCTTACACAGAGCAGTTAATGAGGCTAATCTTGGGCATTGGCTGTGTGCCTTAATGTRCACAGTGGGACTTTATCTCCTCCTTTAATATCAGAAATAGCTGACAATCATACAGTGGTCACCTCTCTCTCTTTATATTGGCTTCTAGGATACACATATAAATGTGTAGCCCCTTTCTACAGAAAACAATTTAGCAATAATTGCACCACTGGCTTTATCCCATTCCCTGACTCCACCTCATGTGGCTGGCCACTCTCTGATGTCATAGACTGAGTATGAGAGGACAGATCAACTCTGAAAAACCAGTCAAGAAGCTGGGAAAGGTGACGTGTGCCTGTAATCCCAGCAGCTCAGGAGGCTGAGACAGGAGGATTGTGAGTTCAAAGCCAGCCTCAGCAAAAACAACTAAGTTGCTAAGCAACTCAGTGAGACCCTGTCTAAAATACAAAAAATAGGGCTGGGGATATGGATCAGTGGTCAAATATCCCTGCGTTCAATCACTGGCACCAAAAACCAAAAACCAAAACAAACAAAAAACAGTTTAGAGCTGGTTTGATTGGATTTTTGACTGTTCCTCCACTCCCTCAAACTGGGAATCCAACTCTGAATTCAGATGCCAAGTTAGAGACTTTCACATATACCTAACTGAATGAAAAGAAGCCTTGGAAAAATAATTCTTTAGTTGAAATTACCTCTAGACTTGTAATAAGTAGTAGGCTTTGGGGAAGAATAAGTTCCTGCGAGAAACAATGAAATCTGTTTGCGTTTGCTTCCTACACTTAAAGCCTTTATACTTTTGCTCCTTTCTCTCCACATTCCCACGATTGTGTCTCTTCTCCAGGGACCCCTCTCTACTAACAAAAACTTTTCCCAATGTCCCTGGTCTTGTGGCCCCCATGAAGACCCTGAGTGTGTGAACTTGCCCATGCTGTTAACTTCTCTGGGTGCCTGCCTTCAGACTATCTTTGATGACAGGACAGAGCAGAAATGTCTTTCTGGGGGAGAGTGGGGAGAAGGTGTRCCCAGGGCTGGGCAGGTCTTCACTGTGGAGCATTGGGCAGTCCCTGACAGCCAAGCTGGGCCTTAAAAGTGAACAGTGGCTGGGAGGTCTCAGGTTTCTTGGGGAGGGGGATGGATGGACAGTTCCTATCCCCTTGAATGCTGTTTTGCTTGGCATGGCCTGTTCCTCCTTCACTTCCTGCTTCCCACCTGTGACCCACCACACTTAGCTACACACAGACTCACTTTGTCCATGCTGCTCCCTCTGCTAGGCATTGTTTTCTCCTCTTCAAGTGCCCAACTCCTGTGTGGCCTTCAAAATTCAGTCCTAGAACATACATTGGGGTTCTTCTTTGATGCTCCAAGTTTAGGCTGGGAGTTCCTCCCTGACCTTCGGTATCAAAGCACTTACCACGTGTAAAGTGGTCATATCTACCCACTTGCTGGAGAACATGCTGAGCTTTGTCTCAGTGCTCAGTGTCTGGCATAGCTTCTGGTGTACGTGGGTGTCAGCCAGAGTCTACAAGATTAGTTGACTAAGTGGGTGAATGAATGAATAACTGACTAATAAATAATAAAGAGTCCATGGCATTCATTGATTAATCCAATCTCAGTAATAATCAAAGAAATTTTAAAATAGAATAAAATTRCCTGGCCAAGCATGGGCACATGCCTGTAAATCCAGTAGCTTAGGAGGCTGAAGCAGGAGGATCTCAAGTTCAAAACCAGCCTCAGCACTTATCGAGGCCCTAAGCAACTCAGCAAGACCCTCTCTCTAAATGAAATATTAAAAGGACTGGGGATATGGTTTAGTTGTTGAATGCCCCTGGGTTCAATCCCTAGTACCAAGAAAAAAAAAGAACAAAATACAATTTTTTTTTTTTAGTTTTAGAAGACACAATACTTTTGTTTATTTATTTTTATATAGTGCTGAGGATCAAACCCAGTGCCTCATACATGTGAAGCAAGTGCACTTAAAAGAAGGCAGTTGCAAAAGGATCATGCATTAAAAAAATTTCATTTATATGAAATATCTAAAATAGGCAAATCAATTGATAAAAAGTAGGTTAGTGGGACTATGATGTGATTCAGTGTTACAGTGTGTGCCTGACATGCATGATGTCCTGGGTTTGATTCCCAGTACTTCAAGAAAATAAACTGTAGATTAGTGATTGCTTAGCATTATAGGGGTTTCTGGGAAAAGGAGATGACTACTAATGGGTAGAGTTTCTATTTGGGGTGATGGGAATGTTATTGGTCACCTGTGCTCCTTTGCTTAAGTTCTTTTCCCAGTCTTTTTGAAATACCGGGGATTGACCCCAGGACCTTAGGCATGCAAGGCAAATGCTATACCACTGAACCACATCCCCTAGCCCTGGAAATGCTCTAAAATTGGTTGCATAACTCTATGAATATACTAAAAAAAAACATTAAATAGTAATCTTAACTGGTGAATCGAATGGTATGTAAGTTATATTTCAATAAGTTCACTTTAAAAAGTTGGGATAACTAGACRCTGTGGCCCATGCCTACAATCCCAGCAATTTGGGAGGCTGAGGCAGGAAAATTGCCAGTTTGAGGCCAGCCGCAGCAACTTGTGAGGACCTAAGTAACTTAGCAAGACCTTATCTCAAAGTAAAAAAATAAATAAAAAGGGATGGGGATGTGATTCAGTGGTAAAACACCCACTGGATTCAATCACCAGTACCAAAAAAAAAAAAAAAAAAAAAAAAAAAAAAGATAAAAGGGGAGGGGCGCCCTGTATTTCAAGACTTTGTTAGGCATAAAATCACATTTCAGAATAGTAGGTATAATATGCTTCCTTTTTATTTATAAGAAATGTTTACATATATGGATAGACAGAGAGAAGAGTTATTATAAACATAAAAAAAGATCTATAATGATATACACCAAGCTGTTCACAAGAGTCACATTCATGGATGGGGTCTTGATATTTTATTTTATATGCTTCTGGCCTTTACTACAAGTATTCCTGATTTTGACATTTTAAACAAGGAAAGTGAAAGCACGGGGGGCCCACTGAAGACCCTAGACCCCACTAGTGACTGTGTTGGAAAAAGGCGGTCCCAGAACACCATGGTGGCCTCCTCAGAGACAGTAGGGCTTTGGAGCCTGAGCCTCCCCCCTCACTGCCATCCCAGTGCTACACAGAGCCTGGGCTTGGGACAGAAATCGTTTATGCATTCACTAGGTGAAAGTTCCACTCCTAAGTGAACTTAGCATTCAAAATGCAAAAGGTAGCACACCCAACAGTACAGCTTCCTCCCTACCTGGGTCCTCTCTTCCTGAGGTGACCAGAGACTGCTGATTCATCTCAAGCTCTATTCCACCCAAAGAATTGTACCATATCCTGTTGTCATGGAAACTGGCCCATAAGTGTATATAAAGAGCTGCCTCTTCCATTTTAGAGTCTCATAGTACCCCATGATTGGGGTCCCCATCACATGCATGGGCCATGCTCTGTTGTCCAGTTCCAATTAATGAACATTTAGGTTGCTGCGGAAAGGTTACTTTATAGGTCCACAGTCTCTTATCCAAATCAGAGACAGAAAGGTAATTTTTTAAAAAGAAAGAAAAGGTAATTCAGTGCATATTCCCTATATTAATGAAATACCCTAATAGAATCTAGAGCAGTGCCCCATAATCAAAAACATTCATATTTCCACTGAAAACATGTATGATAAGTGGAATTAATAAAGATTATAAACCATCCTGTCCTGTTTTGATATCAAGTGAGTTTGTACCAATCTAATGAAAAAATTCCCAGTTTTCAGAACTTTGGAGGTTTTGGAATTACAGGTGAGGCTCTGTGGTGCAATACAAAGAGCTTCAGTGAATAACTTTGGACACACATAATTAGTGTGTGTACAAGTACATCCCTAGGGTAAATTTCTAGAAGTGGAGACACTGTGTCAAAGGCTATGTTCATTTGTGATTTTGACAAGTTTTGCTATAATAACCTTGCTTGTGAGCTGCTGTACTTTGTGGTTTTCCCAACACTCTCCTTTTTGTTTGTTACATTTAGGGCAATGAAAATTCTTTCTTCCTCCCTCCCTCTTGCACAAAGCCGAGATTTAGTCTCTGACCCTCAGCAGAGGTAACCAAGGGGCTGAGAAAGTCCAAGCTTTGCTCTCAGGAGGCTAACAGGACAGTCTCCTTCCACCTGTATGACCTGTATCCACCCTGAGCTTTCATCCTCCTCTGTAGAGACAGTGTCAGCTTCCAGGACAGTCCCTGCCCATTTACCCACCAACCTGTCCTCTTTTTTCCTGCCCATCCCCACTCCCAGGGGTTGGGTTTTGATCTCCCTCTACCCAAAGGGAAGAAGAGTCCAAGCCAACAGAAAGGTCCACAGGCTTTTTAATGGTGTAATGGCTACTTCCCTTCCGAGACCCCATCTAATCATGACAGCGGCTTCCAGGGTGTTGGGGTGGGGGTAGATGGGTTGGGATAGGCAGAGGCCATGCAGTGACTGGGGAGGGGTGGGGGAGAGGTGTTACATTCTGTTTGGCATGTAAACATTCTTCGGTGGCTTCCCACAGTAGAGGGTGGGCAACTCCCTGTCCCTCCCCACAACCCTCACAGGGCTGTTTCCTGGAGTAAGCCAGGCCCCTCAAGGAGTTGGGGAGGAGGAAGCCCATGTACTTGGGCAAGGCCCTTCTCCTGTGCCCCCTTTGCACATAGATTGACTGGGGAGGGGAGGTGTGTTCTGAGGTGAGTACACCCCACATCAGAGCCAGTGACATAGGCGGTTGTGATGGGGAGGTGCCGGGGAAGTGGGGTATGGTGGCGGTGGTAGTGTAACACTCTTATAGAGGAGGAACTCAAGACCTGGAGGGCCTGATGCAGGGGATGGATGTTCAGGGAGAAAGAGGCAGCAGCTGAGGGTGGGGGCACTGGGAGGTGTGGATCTCCCTGGATCTTTCATAGGGAGAGAAGCAGATTCAGTCCCCTAGCCACACACCCACCCCCCACACTGGCTCTTTCCCTCCTCCTACCTTACCTGGTAACATTCAGTGACTCAGAGGCCAGGCCTGAGGTCTGTTGGGTGCCCTAGGGAGGTCTAGGGCAGACTGGGTTTTGTGTCAGCCAGCTCTGGTGCTGGGAGAAGCTGGGGGTGGGATGGACCTGGGGCTCTCTCAACACCCTCTTTCTCCCAACTCCAATCCAGGGTGTTGTTGATCCTAGGGCAGAGGTGAGGCTGGGGGCCCTACATTCACAGTTCGGTTGGTAGCAAGGAGCAGATCCAGGGCCTGGGCACCAGGGGTCATGCCCTGGTTCCCATCTGGCAGGAACTGATTGTCATTCAGAGAAGCTCTAGGTGGGAAGGAGTGGCCCCTCTTCCACCCCCTCTGCWGGACCCAGAGGGTGGTAGAGGGCCTTGGGAGGGCCTCAGGTTGACAAGAAGGGCTGTGTCTGAAGAGGTTTTCCTGAGTGTTCTGGAAGCTTCTGCATCAGCATGGGACCTCAAAAACTGTCCACTGTGGTGTCCTCCCCTGAGCTGGTCTGCAGAGAAAGTGCCCCCTTGGCATGGAAGCAGCTGCCTGAGCCTGCTGACTCTCCTTGAGGGAGTTCAACTGGCACCGCCAGTCTGCTCCTGGGCCAGCTTCTTCTTAGGTGTCCTTCTGGGTGATGGTGACTGGATGTGGCCAGACCTCTGGGGCAGGCTGAAGCCTCTTTTCCTCTTCCCCCTAATGTCTTGGCTTGYTCTCTATGGCTCAGGGAAGGACAGAGGGGCCAGGCCAGGGGACAGAGTCTATAGGTGCTGAGGATGGAGGATCTCTGCCGGGGCCCTGTCCCAGATGGGCAGGGTTGACTGTCTCTTCAGCAGCCAGTGGGCTGCTTGCCCCACAGGTAGGCAGTTGAGGCTCATGATGAGGTGGGATGAGCTATGCTGGAGCCAGAACCCAGGAGGAGGCCCCACATCCATGCTCCATGGAGCAGTGGCACTGCATGGACTGGGTTTAGGACAAGATGGGACAGGATGAAGGGTGAGCTGGGAGGAGTGGGCATGAGCTAGAGACCCAACACACAAGTACACAATTGGAAAGTTAGAAGGGACGTTCTGCCTCCAGGGACCAACTGTCAGTCGACCAGTTCCTGCTCCCTCTGCTCTTGGGGGAGATGTTGTCTGACCCAGCCTACTCCCCACAGGGAGTGACCCAACCAGAACCCAGACCTTGAATCTCCAGAGGGCCAGAGCAGAGAAGGTAATAAATAGCCATTCTCCACCTGCATGGAACTCAGGAGAGATGGGAGCTGGCTGAAACTGCAATAGGCAGGATTGAAAATAGAGGGCAGGAAGGAATTCCTGATGGGAAGGGGTCCTGAGCAGTACTAGATCAGGGGAACAGGGGGAGAGAGAGTGAAACCTTTTTAAAATCTTTCTCTAAATTTCCACTGGGAAACACTTGCCCAGAAAGCAGCCCACACTCCTCCCACCGTGTCCCCATGGCCCCACCCAAATTTAGGAGGATAGGGGTCTCTGCACTCCAAATGTACAAAGAACCCCCTCCCCTTGCAAGAATCACCTGCCCACTGCCCACTGCCCACTGCCCAGGATGGAGCTGACTTTGGGGCAGGTCAGAGCAGTCCCCTCACACCTGAGTATACCCATGGCCCCAGGGTCCCACCTTCCCAACCCCATGGGGCTGACAGCTGAGAGGCCTTCCCTGGCCACCACAGGAGACAGTGGGGGAGGCTGGAGTCTCCACTTCTGGAATTTGAGGCTGTTTCGTGGAGGGAGGGAGCATTGACTGGAAGAGGGAAGGAGGGAAGATGCTGCAGGAAGGGTAAGCAGAGGCCCCTGGGGAGCATGGAGAGCAGCCAGGGCCTGGTGTGTGAGTGGGGGATGGCTGAGCCTTCCCGGGCGGAGGGGTCGTCGTGAGCCTGCCCGGGCAGAGGGGCAGCAGGAGGAGGGGAGGACGCGGAGAGAGGAAGGAGAGACAGCTACTCCCCTCCCCTGGCCTGGCAGGGCCAGAAGGGTGCGACGTGTGCTCGCGCACGTCCTCGCAGGTGCAGGCGGGAAGCTGGGGCCGCGGGTGGCGCGCATCGGGCGCGTAAGGCTGTGCTGGAAGCTGTTCCAGTGTGGCCAGCTGCGGGCGGGGGGCCGGGGTGAGGGTTGGGGGGCCCGAAGAGAGCCGCGGGCGTCATTATCTGGTCCCGGCCCGGCCCTCCGCGACCCCCGCCCGGCCTTTGGTTGTTGCGCGTTGATTCTGGAGTTTCCCTCTGGGTCCTTTCTTGGCTCCCCCGGGGGTAGGGGTGCCGTCAGGCTGGGCTCGGCCCTGGAGGACACCCCGGGGTGGGGGAGGCCCAGACCGGGCATGGTGAGAGGGGGAGGGGCTCTCTTTGCGGGACAGGGACTGGCTCCGTGGGGACGCGCTGGGATGGCGTGGGGCCGAGGTGGGGAGGCCAGGACTGCTGGGCGCGGGGGGCTTGGTGGCTTGGGCTCGCCTTGGGCCAGGACCACGACCTGGGAGCTGTTTCGAACTGGGACGGGGGTCAGCAGCAGGGGCCGACCCTGGGGGCTTCTGCAACTGGAGCCTGTTTGAGGATCAGAGGACAGAAGGAAGGCAACAGAAAAGAAGAGGGCAAAGAAACAAAAAAGGAGAGACATTTTCAGAACGGTGGTGGCACCCGTCCCTAGAGGCTTGCATCCCTTGAGTCCTGCATCCCCAGAGCCAGATGAGACTGAAGAGACCAGACACAGAAGAGTAAACGGAGCCCTGGTGCTCCCTCCTTCCTGGGCAGGACCCCTAAGAGTCTCACACCCTTAGGCTGGGCTCAAAGAGCCTGCTGCAGGCTTTCTTTGAGGGCCCAGTTTCATCTTTAAAATGCTCATACTGGGCTGGGGTTGTGGCTCAGTGGTAGAGTGCTCACCTAGCACATGCGAAGGCCCTGGGTTTGATCCTCAGCACCACATAAAAATAAATAAAATAAAGGTATTGTATCCAACTACAACTAAAAAATGCTCATACTAATCTGAAATAAACTGTATTAATATAAAATAGTGTTTTCTCCCAACTGTACAAAGCTCTGGGTTTTATCTTTTGCTTCAAATGACCCAATGGCACACCAGAGACGTGTGTGAACCCCGCTGGTCTCCATCAACCTTTCCTAAGCCTGGCCTCCCTAGCATCCTCTCCAGATGTGCTCACCATAGCTACTCCCTTGAGCCCAGGGACAGCACTGACCTGAATCAAAAGTGAGACAGAACACAGCTGGGAAATAGTAGACTGGAAGTAAAGCTGAGGGTCCCTCCTGAATCTTCCATAGCCCAAGGTTAACCTTGGCTCTGGGGAAGCCCCTACTAGTAGAGGCTTCTGTGGTCACCCTCTGCCCACCCTGGGGCTGGCAGGGGTTTCTCACCTGCTGGTGATGGCTGTGTCAGATGCTGGGGCCGCACCATGGGATCTGCCCCGGGGCTGCTGGGCTGCGGCAGGCGTGGGCATGCGGATGCTGATGGGGCGGGGAATCCGGCTCCGGGTGGCAGCTGCCCTCCCGACCTTCCTAGGCAAGGCTGCTGCTGCTGCTGCTGCGGGCTCTGAGGCAGGCGTGTCCTCCTCGGAGCCCGTGCCTGAGAGTGTCTCAGAGGCACGACGCTGCTCCTCGCTGGAGGAGGATGAGGCCCCCGAGGCCAGCCGCAACAGCAGGCGACCCTGCCTCTTCTCCATTACCAGCCGTGCCAGGTCCTGCTGTGGCCGGACCCTCTTGTTCCACCGCTCTTTGGCTGACAGCGAGCCTGAGGGTTCCGATCCTGTGTCCTCCTCAGACAGCAGGACAGGAATACGGCTCCTGGGGCGAGGGCTTAGCCTGGCCTGGCGGCTGGGGGAGATGGTGGCCATTTTCTCAGGGCCTGGCTCTGGTGGGGATGATGCTAGGACTGGCCCATCAGTAAAGGCTGGGCCATTGGGCAGTAAGTCTGTGGCCACCTCTGAGGGTGTTTCTCCTGGAGGTCCAGACAGGGCACAGCTCTCCGTCTCAGCCCCATCCAGCCCTGACAGGGCGATGCCATTCTCCAGGGGCACTGGAGCCCCCTCTTCTATAATGCCCCCCTCAGAGGGCACCTCCAGACCCAGCTCGCCCCCAGTGCTGAACTCCTCAGGCCGCAAGGCTTGTCCTCCGGAAGACATGACGTTCAGGTGGGTTTTCTCCGCAATGTGCACAAAGGTCCTCTCAACTTTGGTGAAGGGTGAGGAAGTCACTGCCACACCCGCTGTCCCKGTGGAACCAGTCCCCATTCCTGGCCCTGCTCCAGGCCCCGGRGGCTTGGGCTCAGACTTGAGGACGGAGGACAGGGTACCTGGCTCCGACACGTCAAGTTGGCTGCCAGTGGGCTGGGGCCGCTCATGCTGAGGAGTGAGGGCAGCCAGGGTGCCCAGGTCAGGGTCGGGGGCCAGTTCGGCAGTGACGGGCGACTTCTTCATGTCGCCAGGGGAGACGAGCACCAGCGTTTTGGAGCCCTCCTCAGGTTCCAGGTCCCCGTCAGCCATGGAGGCCCGGCCCCTGGACTCCTTCTGATCGTCAGCTAGTAGTGTGGACGGGGCCCCCTCCTGGCTCCGGTCGGTGCTCCTCTCGCTCCCGTCACTGCTAGAGCCACTGCGGGGCTCCAGTACCTCCTCCAGGGCCACTGCCTCCTCTTCCTCCTCCTCTTCCTCCTCCTCCTCTTCCTCCTCCTCYTCCTCTTCCTCCTCCTCCTCTTCTTCCTCATCTTCCTCTTCCTCCTCCTCCTCCTCCTCCTCCTTTTCCGGCTTCCCATTAGCCTGAGGCTGAACAGGAGCCAGCGGGACATGGGGGGTGGTGAGCAGCATGTGCGAGAAGCCCACCCTCCGGACCCTGTTGAGCAACCGTGCCCGTTCTCGGTAATCGGAGAGGTCTCTCTTGAAGTCCTGGTAGGGCAAGCTCAGAGGCACAGCTCGCGGGAGGCCATTCATCTCAAACGGGGGTGCCACAGAGAACACCTGCAAAGGGCACACACAGGGACCCGCTGAGGTTACACACCTTCTTTGCCTGGAGAAGTCTTCAACTGCACCCACAAGCTAGGAGACCCCCCCCAGCCCCCAAGTGCAGCCACCAGAATGTGAGTCTGCAGAGGGGGGCCCTGGGTCCGTTTCATTCATTGCTATATCTCAGGCCCTAGAGTGATCTCTGGCACCTACTAAGTACTCAGTAAATCTTTCAAGAGTGATTGAGTCCAAGTTCCAGGTCCCTTTAGGTCCCAGACCCTGATCCTAATGGCTTTTCTGTCTCCCTGCCCTCTCCATTTAACTCACTCCTTCCCTCACTATGTGCATCCCAAACCCCAGAGCCAACTGTAGAGTTTAGTTGATAGCAGAAAACAAGAACCAGAAGTTACCATAGCCACGATTTACATCTACCTTCCCTTTGAGAGATGAGGAAACCAGGCCCAGAGATGGGCGGCAAGAGTCTGTGTCACTTTCTGAGAGGGGCATGCCCGTGCCGGCCATGGATGGCTAGCCCTCCCTATCCCTCCCTGGGAATAGCTTCTCTACAGCCAGAGAGCTGACTTCCCACGGTCACCAGAACCTATGTTCAGTGAGGGTGAACATAAAGCTGTACTCTGTCACTCAAAAGTGCAGGCTGGGCCCCTGGAGCACCAATCCTCTTCCCTCCTGTGCTGGCCTGACCTGTCAGCCAGGAATTTGTCCAGCCCTCATAGATTTCAACTCAACTAAGTTTTCCACTTTGAAGTCTCCTGCAGAGCCCTTGGCAAAGTAATGGCCAAACCTCTTTTTGGATTTTTAGATGCCGGCCACATCCTCCTTTGGCCTGCTTCCTTCCAGACTAGAAAGTCCACCTTATCAGGACCTGCTGTGTCTCCTTCACCTCCTGGGTCCCATTCACCCCACAAATCTATTGTGGACCTACTCAGTCCACAAACATCCCTAGTGCCCACAGTGCACTGGGCCCATTGTGGCTGACAGGGCTTTGTTCCCCACTGGGATGTTGTTGACAGTGGCTGGCACTTTGTTAGCCTTTTTGAATACACTGGGCCTCTGTCTTCCTGAACTAACAGAACACAGCCCATCCAGACCAGAAGCCCCTGCTCATSTATCCACAGTCCCTCTGAATCATCGCTATGTCTGCTCCCCGCAGCCCGTGAGCACCACTGATCCTGCCTGTGGTTCCCAGCCTGCTCTCTCCACCCTGAACTCTCTCTGCCCTGCCATCCGTCCTTCTTGGAGCTGCCTGAGTATCTTCCTGGAACTCAGATCTGACTCTCTCAATCTCTATAGCAAACCTGCATTGTCCTCAGAAGACAGTTCCCATCCTTGGCTTGAGGCAACCCCAGCCCCACCCACTCTGGCTCCCACCTACTCTCCAGCCTCACTTACTGCAGTCCCCTGCCATGTGTCCCAGCCATTCTGATGCCGCCAGAACTTCTCTAGACACATCAAACGTTTCACACTTTGCCCAGGCAGTTTCTTCTGTCCCGGGGTCCCTCAAATCCTCTCTGTTCATGTGATAAAATCCTCCTCTTTTTTCAGCCATTCTTCTTCCACAAAGCTTTCCTGTCCACCCATCAATCAGACTTCATGATTCTCTCCTTCCTACTTGTATATCCACATCTTCTATCTGCGTGTGTTCACATGGTTTTTTCTCTTATAAACAGCCCCTGGAGGGCTCGCTCTTCCTTCCTTCCTTCCTTCCTTCCTTCCTTCCTTCCTTCCTTCCTCCCTTCCTTCCTTCCTTCCTCCCCCCCCTCCTTTTTTTTTTTTATATATTTGTAGATGGACAGCATGCCTTTATTTTATTTGCTTATTTTTATGTGGTGCTGAGGATCAAACCCAGTGTCTCACACATTCTAGGCAAGCGCTTTACCACTGAGTCCCAGCCCCAGCCCTGGAGGGCTTTTTCATTCATTCACTCACTTAAGAAGTGGTCCTTGAAGCTGGACGCGGTGGTTCACACCTGTAATCCCAGCAGCTCAGGAGGCTGAGGCAGAAGGATTGCAAGTTCAAAGCCAGCCTCAGCAAAATTAACGAGGCCCTAAGCAACTTAGCGAGACCCTGTCTCTAAATAAAAAATAAAAGGGGCTGGGCATGTGGCTCGGTGGTTAAGCGCCCCTGGGTTCAATCCTTAGTACCAAGAAAAAAAGTGGTCCTTGAATGTCTGCTGTCCTGTTTACCATGTTATAGGTTAGGAATCTGTGGATCAAGTTTTAAACAAGATAGACATGGTTCTTGGTTTCATGATGAATTCGATGTCTACATCAGAAAAAGAAATGAGATGATGGACACTCCACAAAGGTTGTGATCCTATATATGCTTATATGAACCAGTTTGTATAGCAGTGGGCCTCTGGATAACTCAATAAATGTCAGCTCTTCCTATTCCCTACTCTACTCTGTCTGGTTTGTAATCATTGTCCTTTCCCCAACTTCAGAAAAGTGGGACCTATGGGGGTGAGGTGGAAACAGGAGAAGCTCTGCCACTGGGGCTCCAATGCCAATACCAAAGCTGGTGGAGGGTGAGGCAGGAAGCTCCAAGGCCAAGCATCTACCAGGTTGTGTCTTCCCCTGCCCAAATGCCACCATCTTCCTTGTAATCCATGCCTTTGTCTTTGAGGACTTAATTGGGGAGGGGGAGTAATTCAAGACAAGGTAGTCCTGGGCCCCGCGGGACCCCAGCACACCATGAAGGGCCAGGCAAGGAACATCCTTRGAACTTTATCCTGTCCACATCCAGGCTGGAAGTCCCCAGAAATTGTTTTCTTTATCCATCCCCTTCATTCATTCTCACTCATCCATTCACTCGGTTAGCAGATGTTAAGTACTGACTCTGTGCCAGGTCTCATGTTGGGGCATCTTGCCCCATTCACTTATGGATGTTAAAGCTAAAGAAAATGGCTGGCGGAGGGGAAGGAGACTATTGTAAGTTCCTGGGTAAGTGGAAGGTGATGGCACTTAGAACCAGGGACAGACAGACATGCAGAGCTCTGATCATGTTTCTCTCTTGCCTAGCTTGGAATTTGCCCTCCTAGCACCAGACACATCCCACCCAACAGGAGTGTCCTTTGGCTGCACCTGGTCACCCTTTCTCTGAAGAACCTCTCTGTTTGCCCTATCCCATGGCTGACTTCTTGATATCATAGTTAGAACTATCCTTTCCACTGCCAGCTGACCAAGCCCTGGATTGCTGTGGAGAAGTCTTGTCCAGAGGATGGGACCCTCACACACAGTGCCCACAGTAGATGATTGCAGGTTGAATCCTCTCTCCTTCATCTCAAGGCCATCCCCTCCTACTACCTGGGAGAGAGGAAGAACAAGAACTGAAATCAGTTGCTTGTCATAAAACCAGACCGGGTCACCAAGACCTGATGAGAGAAATTGATTTGGATCTGTTTCAAATCAGGAAGCCTACTGACCAGGTGGCCCAGGACCTAAAACTCTTTCCAGTGCTTCAATGGCCTCCCACCCCATCCCTTGGCAGGGGAATTGAGACCTTCTGACCTTTGGGAGAAATGACTGTGACTTCAGCATCAGTACCTCTTCACAGCAGTCTAGACAAGCTGGATTTTCTATTTCAAAAATAGAAAGCTGGGGAAGGACAGAGGCCCGGCTCGGGCTCCTCCCTCCTCAGTTAGCCTAGCCCTCTCCCTACCTTTCCTGGGTGCCCAGAGAGCTCTTGCCCCTTGATCTTGTTGTGTTCATTCACTCAGTCAGTCACCTCTGGATATCCTCTGTATACTTGGCCCCAGAAGCCTGAGGACACCACGGGAAGGGCACGGTTATGACACTGCTCTACCCCACCTGTGCTGGGTTCTAGCAAAGGCCAGTCAACTCTGGCCAGTCTCAGACCTTTTTACTTCCTTTCTAGGGCAGTGAATGAATTTGCATCATGTGGCTCCCAGGCCTGGCCTGGCACAGCATTTCTGTTTTTTTTTTTGTTGTTGTTGTTGTTTGTTTGTTTGTTTGTTTTTTCAAGTGCAGAGCCCACTGGGCACAGTGGCATACACCTGTAATCCCAGAGGCTCAGGAGGCTGAGGCAGGTGGATCAAAAGTTCAAAATCAGCCTCAACAACTTAACAAGGCCCTAGGCAACTTAGTGAGGCCCTGTCTCCAAATAAAAAATTAAAACCTGCTAGGGAGGTGGCTCAGTGGTTGAGGGCCCCAGGTTCAATCCCCAGCACAAAAAATAAAAAATTAAAGTGCAGAGCCTGAGTCCCACCCCCAAATCTGTAAGTCAGCTTTGAGGCCCAGAACTCCTGCTGTTTTAAAACTTCCTGGTGATTTGGACTGAGTTCAGTAAAAGGCAGAATTGGCAAGGGTTGGATAATGGGGGAGAAGGAGCAGGCCATTCAAGCAGAGACCCTTGAAAAGGGTGAATGCCCCAGCCCCATCTTTCCCTCCACTGAGCCCAGTTGAGAGGACTGAGGTCTGGGCCCCGCCAGCTTCAGGGTCCAGCCAAGTCCATGTTGACTTCTGTAACACTGACACTGGGGACAGTTACTCCACATACCTGCATCCCAGTGCCCACACAGGGTGCATAGGGCAGCTCTTGTCGGGACTCCAGCCAGGCCCAGACAGTGTAACACATCAGCCCAAAGTCCCAAGGTTGAAGGGGAAGGACCTGAGAGGGGTTGACCTCAGAAACTGGCTATCACGCACAGTCTGCCTCCCCACCTCCACCCTGGAAGACAAAACTGCTGAGAGAACCACCCCCTACCTCCCCACCATGCTGGAGCCCTCTGGTCTGAGAAGAAAGGAAAGGAACCATGAATCAAGTAGCCTCTGGCAGCTCTTTGGCCGCCATGGCTGTTTTACCCAAATTCTTCCTCTGTTTTTCTGCCCTCTCTTCACTCTAAACCCACCTCTGCCAAGTCAAGAGTCCTTCTTCCACTCTGCCACCCACACTCACTCTGGACAGGGAAGGGRAAGGTGGGAATATAGCTGTTCATGCTGGGGCCCCACAGGCTTCACACCCTTGACCTCCAGGCC